TGACCTCTCAAGGTCCCTTCCAGTCCTATGATTCTATGATCAGCATAGATGTATGTCCTCTGGAATGGTGGTTGAAGCATGAAGGGACATAGGAATTTTTAGCGCATCTAGCACGTAATTATCTTGCGATGCCAGCTATAACAGTGCCATGTGAACGCCCGTTCTCACTTTAAGGTGACATTGTAAACAAGAAGCAGGCAGCATTATCTCCTGCAAATGTAAACAAACTTGTTTGAGCGATTGGCTGAACAAGAAGTAGGACTGAGTGGACTTGGGAGGCTCTGAAGTCTTACATTTTGTTTTTTTAACAGTTTTTTTTTTGTACACAATTCTACATTTGTAAGTTCAACTTTCATGATAGAGATTGCACTACAGTACTTGTCTTAGGTGAATTGAAAAATACTATTTATTTTGTTTTTCACAGTGTAAATATTTATAATAAAAATAAATATAGAAGGAGTGCTGTGCACTTTGTATACTGTGTAATTGAAATCAATATATTTGAAAATGTAGGAAACACTCAAAAATATTTAAATAAATGGTATTCTATTGTTTAACAACGCAATTATTTTTTTAAATTGCTTGACAGCTCTAGAATAGACATGTGCAATCACTTGGGTGCATACCCGTACTGTAACTGTTTTTAGAGATGTGTGGTACATGCCCATTCTACACCCTGCTGTCCTTTCCTCTGCTTTGAAGTCTGTTAGGTTAGGATTCAGTGTGAAGGAGCTGAGGGGACTCTAGGGCAGCTGTGCATTTTATTCTCTGACCTGGACACATGAGGAGATACTTGTTGCACGTGCTTCCCTGATGGGTACTGCTCAGGAAAACTCTCCGGCTACAGTGCACTTTTTGTGCACAAACCTGAAGTGGAATAGATATGTGCAACACATCTCAAAGAACAACAGTTACAGTAGAGGTATGTAACCATTTTTCCTCCATGCCCTCCCTTAATCTTCATCTGGCATTCTTTTACAGTACCTGGTGCTTGATTTCTATTGCTGAGTTTTGGAGATCACCCACAATGAATTTCCAATCACTTCTGCACCAGGTCCTAGCTCTCGCTTTTTTCCTCGCTCTCTTTCTTCTTAACTTTCATGAGACTGTCTTCCTATAGAAGGTGGACTCTCTGCTGTCAAGGGAATCCATACAAGGAGTCTTCCTAATCTATTGAGAGCAAAGAATTCCTGGTATTTCCTCATCCCCCCCCCATGAAGGTGGACGGTTTAAGACTCTTTCTGGACTCAGAAACCTGAACAGGTATTTAAAGATATCAAAATTCAGGATTCTCATCTTTAGGAAGAACCACTAGAGCAGGGGTGGCCAAACTTACTGACTCTCCGAGCCACATATGACAATCTTCAGAAGTTCAAGAGCTGGAGTACGTCTGCCGGGGCTTGGGGCTTCAGCCCCATGGGAGGCGCCTGTTGGGTCTTGGAGCTTCAACAGGAATGAGGCTGAGTCCTAGTAGACGTGTCCCGTGGGGCTGAAGCCAGAGGTGACATGAGGTCACCTAACACCCCCATGTTTTTTGCCAAGGTTTGCTGGCCCTGTTCAGTCACATGGTGCTGCCAAGCCCCCTCCCTGCACTGCAGCTGCTGGAGCCGGCAAGAAGGAAGCTGTGGCTGTGGGGAGAGGCAGCAGCAAACAGTTGGGAGCTACAGGGAGAGCTGATGCTTTTGTTGCTGCCTCCCCCGGGAGCTAAAGCACTGGTTCCTCCCTGCAACTGCCTGCTGTTTGCTGCTGCTTCTCCAGGTGAAGTTAACACCTGGAGCTGCAAGGAGGGGGCACTGAAGGGAAGACGAGGGGATGTTCCTGCGGAGGTTCACTCAAGCAGTTGCGGGGGGCAAACTTTAAATTGCTGCCCCCTCCCCCCTCAGCAGACATCAGTCATTTCTGGCAGAAGACCTAGCCCCACCACTCTGCTGCAGGGCAGAGGCCCTGAGTCTGGTAGGCAGAGAATGAGAGGACGGAGCATGGGGCTCCACGAGCCACAGTTTAACTGTAAAATTGCCAAATACGTTTCGTGAGCCGCGGTTTGGCCACCCCTGCAGTATAGATTAATGAGATTCTTCTTGGGAGATAGATGCTTTTGAATTCAAGGTTCTTCCCTTTGGGCTGTCAGCAGTCATTTTCACCAAATGCCTAGTTACAGTGGCATCTTATCCTCGGATATTAAGATATACCTCTGCACATACTTTTATGAATGGCTTTTAAAAAACAAGACAAAACAGGACTTGATATGAGCCATTGCCACTACTGTAAGCCTGTTCCACTCATGAGGCTGCAAATAAAATGGAATAGTTTAGTCTCTGACTCTCTCACAAATAGTATTTTATAGATGCAGTACTGAACTCAGTAGAAGCCAGGCTGTTCCTTCCAGAGGAAAAATTTGCTAGCATCCAGCAAGTGTTCATCACTTTATGGGCATATTCAGAGCAGACTCGTTACTTTTTCCTGTGGTTCATGGTCTCATGACATCATCAGCTTACATGACTCCTCATACCCGACTGTACTTGAGACTTTACTACGTTGGGTAGCATGACACCAAATGCTGAACATAGGCTTCCTGTAGACATTTGTCTTTGATGTAGTACCAGTGGAACTATCAACTCACCTGATGCAAGTCCAGGGACAGTGTTCTGCAAGGAGTGGCCTTAACCTTCTGTTCCTAACAACCATAATCATCAGAGATGGCTTCAATTTTTTTAAGTGACGTTTACCTGCAATTTTATCTATACTCTGTCTCTCTAATTCTCAAATATTACTTTGATGCATTTTGAATTCCAAGGATTTGGGAAAAACCAAACCACCCAAACCTAGTAATAGCTGCTTGGTTCTAAAAACGACCATAGCAAACGAGGCTTGTCATATTTTGTCTCAATCCAGTTGGATATCTAATGCTCTCAGCATGCTTTGGGGTAATGTTGGGATAGAAATTGAATGTTAGAAAGCAGTTTGTGAGAGGAATTGCTCAGATAACAATAAAGGCAGCCAAATGGCTTTTTTGTTTATACAAGTTATAACATTATTATTTAAGATCAAGGGATTTACTTTTCTGTTTTAAACAGTGTGAATACTGTTTGAAAAGCATATTTTCCCCTGCAACTATCACGTTCATTTATCTTTTTGGGGATAGGAGTTGATATTCATTCTCTCTCTCTCTCTCTCTTATTTTATATTTACACCCACACCCATCTCTCTCTGTTTCCTTGGGCTGTTCGTCAGTATCCATCTGTTGTTCAATTATAAGCTCTTTGAGGCAGGGACCATTTTTTGTTCTTTGTTTGTCACAGTGCCTCATGCAGTCGGGTTCTGTTCCTTGATTGGGGCTCCTAAGCATAATGGTAATGCTAATTAATAGTAAAACAAACAAGTAAACAAAAAAATCCATGCACACATCCAACCCAAGAAGCTTGCTTTGACATTAAATGCAACTGTCTGGTTACTGGAATATCTTAGGACAGTGTTCTCTTTTCGTGCGGCCACAGCTGCCTGGGCGGTGATGGCAGGGCGGGGCAGGGACAAAGCAGCATCCCCTCTCCCACCCTACTCTCCTCTGGAGCCACAGATGCCAGAAGAGAAGGCAGCTGATGTGAGTTCCCCAACTTGCCGGGTGCAGTGGGATTTGGGTTTCCAGCTTCAGCCCTGAGGTGGTGGGATGACTGGCGCCATCACCTGGTTCTGTCCCCCAGCTCAACCCCACCCCAGCCCCCGCTGCCTCCTCTGGCCCTGGGTTATGGCCACATAGTGGCGGGCTCCATCTCTGGCTGAAAGGTTTCAGGTTCTAGCCGCGGGGATCCAGATCCAGTCCCGGCCGCCCAGTGGTGGCGACGGCAGGCAAACCACCCCCTTCCAATTGCCCCTGGCCCCTGCTGCATTCTCCAACCCTGGTTTCAGCCATGCACTCCGACCCTGGCTGTGTGGTGGCGGTCACCGGGCTTTGGGTTCCGGCTGTGGTGCCCAGCCACGTGGCAGCGGGTGCTGGCCGTGGGCTCACCAATCCACCCCCATCACCTTTGGCCCCTGTTGCCTCCACACCGATCTCCTCAGGGCTGTCCTTACCCATACGCAAAGTACGCAGCTGCGTAGGGCACCAGGAAATTTGGGGCACTGCAGCAGGGCTGGGCCTACACTCACCAGTGGTGCGAAGTGCAGCTACCTCCTAGCTAGCTAGCAAGTCTGCTGCTGTGAAAAATATTAACAAACGTACAAATATCACTTTTCAAAGAAGCACTCTTATGAGCTAGCAAGTCTTAAAAAAAAAAAAAAAAAAAAAAAAGGACAGCCAAAAAGGCAAAAGAAACTATAACAGCAAAAGACAAGAACGTGGAAAGCATCTTATTTGTTTTTATTCTGTTTAGGTCCAGTAAAGAATAGAGGCAACTGTACATTATTTTTATTATTGAGTCTGCAAAAAAACCCAACAACCCTATATCAGTGTTCCCTCTAATTTTTTCCATCCATGTGCGGAAAGAATTTTGTTACGTGCACTATATCGAGCGGATGTGCGCCACCAGCAGAAACCAAAAACCTAGATATAATATATATTTTTAAAAAATTACTGTAGGGATAATTACTCCAGCCAGGACAGGTTAGGCATTTTAGAACTCTACTCAAATAATTAAATTTAAGCATAAGAGAGAAATAAAGATTATGAAATGCATAGACCAGTCAATAAACTAAAATAACACACGGTGAAAGAACTAACAACAATAGTTTGTGTGTGTGTGTGTGTGAGAGAGAGAGAGATTAAGTGAGTGAAGGCTCTTCTCTACTTTCTATGGATTGATGCTGTGGCGATGGATCCACCAGGGGTTGATTTAGCGAAGAGATTCCTGGAAATCTATCCAACCCTTGAAGTGTCTGTCTCTTTTACTCTAGCCGTGGTTTGATGTTATTGAAAGCTTATTTGTAAGTTTTACACTTAATATTAAGCGATATCTTTTTTCATTTAATACAGTAGCTTACTGTCTTTGCCATTCTTTTATTTGTAGGATCCTGTGGCCCAGCCTCTAATGACATCTCCTGCTAACCTGATGCAACCTGTTGATAATAAATGGAAGAATGTAAGTATAGAGTTTTCTTAATTTATTTGTGTCAATACTAAGATGGCAGGCATGTTAAAAGGGAATTGCAGCTTTTAGAACTTTGCAGACATTTATTAATATTATGTATTAACAAACACACAGTTCTCTGGAAGGTGGGTTGATATTTGATTAAAGGGCCTTATAGAATGCTGTTCCCAATTTGTGAATGCAAATCTGTTAATGCTTGTAAATGGTTAATTAGGACTATAGCAAGTCAATTCATAAACGTTTCCTGATAACTGCATACACAACTCCATTCAAAAACTCTTGGAAAACACGTCAGATACCCCACTCCGTTCCCTGTAGGGCAGGTAAGATGATTAGTGCACCATAAAAGGGCTCTAAAAGCATTAGGGAGTGCATCCATTAGGGAGGACTCGTGCAATGCGGGAACTGTGGAAGAGAACTTCAAGGCTGCCTTCCCAGGACTCTCTAGCAAACCCCAGCATAACAGCTGGTGGCAGAAGGTGTACTTTGAAATGCTTTATATATATATATATATATATATATATATATATATATATATATATATATATATATATATATATATATATA